GCTGAGTAAACAAGTGCATGAGTGGAACAAAATGAGGGTTTCCTAAAACAAATGTGGTTCCACCTCAACTACAAACCCTGGATGTGAAACAATGCATGAGTATCCAAAATCATTTTTAAATTCTGAAAGTGGTGATTATGGCTGTCCCGAAACTACTTTTTCACTTCCGATACAATAATGATATTGCTACCTTGACTACTGTCGAATACCAATATCGAATCGATATGATATAACGAAWCCTACATACTTTTATTRCATTTTTTGTAGTGCGAAATCTTAAAAAAGTCTTGATCAGGTCAAAAARTAAACAATAGTAAAYAGTAATAGGTATGAGAAAGACTGGTCCAATTTTAATCCAGTTGGTTACATACTTTTCTAATTTAAACATTAGAATGTTGTRCAATTAAATACAACAAATCAATAACAAAATAGAAGACTCTGAAAAATGACCTCAATTAATCCAATAAAACCAATATATACTTTTAAAATGTAAAATAACTCAAGGTGATTTTATTTTTTTATGCTGGATTCATGGACTATTGAATGGGCTGTTTGCAGCATCGGAGTGCTAATATCAGTGATTTTAGTGCAGGCAGATGTAATAAAATAATTTTTTTTTCTAATATTGGACCAATGTCCGTTATTGATATTAGATTGGAACACCCCTAGTGGCATTTATTAAAATTGTAGACATCTAACCTAGAGTAACTCAAAGCACCATGCTACATACAGTAAATGGCAAAACAAATCAYAATAACTTATGGAACTGCTAGCTACAAAAGTAAATTAAAAAAGCATGGCAGTGTGTTTGAAATTCTCCAAAATGTATTTAATTGTGCCATTACAACAACTCCTTAAACTAAATTGCATTAATATAAATAAATATATGATCATATTTTTTTATGTATTTATACACAAAGTTTAGACTGTCAAAGCATTTTTTACCTAAATAAACAGGTTATACATATTATTGCATCATAAATTAAAGAAAGCTTTTGTTCAGTCTAAGTTGAAAGAAAAACATGTTCTTAAAGCTATAAAAATCTCTAGATTACAGTTGTTTCAGCAAGAACCTAATTGAATTTGTGCTAACCAAACCGTTACACCATAACAAAGGTATTGAATTTGTGCTAACCAAACCGTTACACCATAACAAAGGTGTAACATCTGAAAATAATCTATGATACACCTTTGTTACACCATAACAAAGGTGTATCATAGATTATTTTCAGATGTTCTAATTGTTTTCTTCTATTTACTCTGCTGTTTCCCAAAAATTCTCAGATTCAACGATGTTTGAAAACCAAGAATTGTTTGAGTGCACATATTTTCATTCATTCCTTCTGACTGTTCAGGTTTTTGCTTCTRCTCAACCACTTTTTAAAGTCAGTTACTCTTCAGTTTCCATGTGAAAAATATGCAAAAGTTTAATAAAATGAATATCAACTAATGTCGCAAAAAGGGAAACATACAGCGGGTAAAATAAGTATTGAACACGTCATCATTTTTCTCAGTAAATATATTACTAGAGGTGCTAATGACATGAAATTTTCACCAGATGTCAGTAACAAGTGATCCATTCATACAAAGAAATCAAACCATAAATGTCCAGAAATGAAGTTACTTGTAATAATGTGAAATGGCACAGAGAAAAAGTATTAAACACATGAAGAAAGGGAGGTGTAAAAAGGCATGGAAAGCCAAGACACCAGCTGAACTCTCTCAGTAATTAGAAAGCAAGCCTGCCCCTTGTCAGTGCAAGTTAATATCAGCTGGTTCAGTCCCAAATGATGGCCAGGTATCACACAAGAACCATCTGATGATGGGTAAAAGTAAAGAGCTCTCTCAAGACCTTCACAACCTTATTGTTGCAAAGCATAATGATGGCATCGGTTACAGAAGAATGTCTAAACTTCTGAAGGTTCCAGTGAGCACTGTTGGGGCCATAATTCAGAAGTGGAAAGAACATTATTTCACCATAAACTGACCACGACCAGGTGCTCCTCGCAAGATTTCTGACAGAGGAGTGAAAAGAATTATCAGAAGAGTTGTCCAAGAGCCAAGGACCACTTGTGCAGAGCTTCAGACAGACCTGGAATTATCAGGTACGATTGTTTCAAAGAAAACAATAAGTAATGCACTGAACCACCATGGCCTGTATGCACGCTCACCACGCAAGACTCCACTGCTGAAGAAACAGCATGTTGAAGCTCCTTTAAAGTTTGCTGCACAACATTTAAACAAGCCTGTGTAATACTGGGAGAATATAGTCTGGTCAGATGAGACCAACATTGAACTGTTTGGATGCCAGAATACACATCATGTTTGGAGGTCAAATGGCACTGCACATCAGCCCAAAAACACCATACCAACAGTGAAGTTTGGAGGTGGGAACATCATGGTGTGGGGCTGTTTTTCAGCATATGGTACTGGCAAACTTCAAATAATTGAAGGAAGGATGAGTGGAAAAATGTACAGAGTTATTCTTGATAAAAATCTGCTTCCATCTACCAGGATGATGAAGATGAAACGTGGCTGGACATTTCAGAAAGACAATGAGCCCAAACACAAAGCCAAGGAAACTCTCAGTTGGTTTCAGAGAAAGAAACTAAAGCTGCTGGAATGGCCCAGCCAATCACCTGACCTGAATCCAACAGAAAATCTATGGAAAGAACTAAAGATCAGAGTTCATAGAAGAGGTCCACGAAACCTTCAAGATTTGAAGACTGTTTGTGTGGAAGAATGGGCCAAAATCACACCTGAGCAATGCATGCCACTAGTTTCTCCATACAGGAGGTGTCTTGAAGCTGTCATTGACAACAAAGGCTTTTGTACAAAGTATTAGATAAATTTCAGTAAGTGTGTTCAATACTTTTTCCCTGTGCCATTCCACATTATTACAAATAACTTCATTTCTGGACATTTATGGTTTGATTTCTTTGTGTSRATCACTTGGGTTGTTACCRACATCTGGTGAAAATTTCATGTCATTAGCACCTCTAGTAATATATTTACTGAGAAAAATGGTGACGTGTTCARTACTTATTTTACTCGCTGTACTTCCTCTACCATTAGAGTATATTTTACTAATTTCTGGAACACATCTAATGTCTGTGTAATAGTTATCGTTTACTTTTTTCAATCATTAACAGAAAATGATAATCATTTAACACTCAGCATACGTTATTTTTGTTCTCTGATACATGTATCACTTTTATGGAGKTTGAGTTTCAACAATGGGCAAAAATAAAACAAAAATAAGATAGATGTGTAAATTATTTTTGGACTATTTGTATGAGTCCTAAACACACAGCTGAAAACTGGGCAAAAAGTCAGTGATTTGGATTTCATAGTTTTTTGTTTTGTTAAATGCCATATCCACATTTTGGATTAATTAAAATAAAATTAGTTTAAATATTGTGAGAAAAATAAAATGAGCTAATATATCATCAGACAAAGTGCTATTATTTGTATTTTTTTATCGGGGGAACTGGAAAATTAATATTCACACTTTTATTTGACAAACTAAAATACTACATTTTTCAAGCGGTTCAGGTCAGCACATCTGGTTAAAGAAGAAAATAAATGAATCACCAACTTACCTCTCACTGCAGGGAATGCAGTCAGCACAGTGACAACGACAGCAAGAACAAGACGAATGGTAGAAACCCTGTTCCAATTTTCCTGGTAAATACACCTTTTCATTTTCCTCTACCTTCAGGCAGTGAGCATCAAGAGACAGCTGAAGCAGTTGAAGTCCTGAAATACCGTTCACCTTTAAGAATATTTATTCAGTAAACTGAATAAGTTTAATCTTCTGTGCTGATGTGAGCCTCAGGATCCGGCGGTCGACTTCTAAGGCGTATGAGCATTTGTGTGAGCATCAGATCTACTGTGTCATCACRTCACAACTGGTAAACAGTTTGTTACAGACGGAGTCGAGACGTTTACTTGAAGAATTTGATACGGAAACATACAGTATATTGAGTTAATGATTAAACTAATTCAAAACCCATTTTACAAATAAGACTTGAGCTCATTTCTACYGCCTGTGTAAACATACCTTTCATAGAAACAATAAAAGCGATACTAGGTTAAACAAAATGCTTCTTTTGATCAAAAGGCTACAAGGATTTGAGGGAAGTTCTCCACCTCTGTTTGCTTATTAGAAAATCATTATTGTAACGTCTTGCAACAGACGTATTTCCAGTGAACTACATCATACTTTCTATTTATTTATTTATTTATTATTATTTACAATTAYTGGTACTCTTTTATTAAAAGAATTCATTGTAACTTCTAAAATAAAAGGGAAAAAATTCTATTGAACATTTATTTTTAAATTAAACTGTATGTAAATAGGATATGGGCATCAGTGACCCACGCAACCCTGAAAAGGAAGAAGCGTGTACAGAAAATGTATGTATGTATGTATGTATGTAAATACTGAGAGCTGACCAAATTATTCTACAGTAAAGTGAAGCTCGGGTCAAAAGGAGTCATGCAACGATTCCAAACAAGAACAAATCAGCATCCATCATCAATCTATATCGTTCCTCACTTTCTAGAGATTACGAGGAGCTGGTGTCCATCTGGTCCTTGTATTGAAATGTGGGGTGAACCATGGGCAGGTCAAAAGACAAATCAACAAGGACAGAAAAAAAAATGGTGCAAAAACCAAAGTTAAGACTTCAAACTGCAAAKTGTGGCAGGAAGAAAGGTGTAGAAACAATTATAAATCCAAATTAACCAAAGCATTGTTGTAAAATAAAAAAGGGAACATTTTCTTCACATTATAGGAGAGATAATATTGTTTTCTCACTTCAAATAAAGTTGCAAAACCTTCCACTTCTCCAGTTATGGTTGTTTTCTACATAAATGTTATAAATGTGCCGTCTCATTACTTCCCATCCTTTAGTTTCCTCATGTTTGTCATTGCTGATATTCACAGCTGAACCAAGTGTCCAGAAGAATGACAAAAAGGAGTGATTTTAAGATTCATGAGTCAATTGCAAATGAAAATGTTTATTTAAAAAAACTTCAATAAAGCCCAAATAACAGAAACAATCCTGAATATGTTTTCACATTTCCACAATTATTACCAAACTGCTAGACTTTTACAAGTGGAAGAGGAGCTGTTCACACTACTGAAGCAAACTAYGAGACACGTCACCTCATTAGGTGCTGTCAGCAGTGTGATTGTGAGAAAACCCACTGACCAGTTCTTTCTGAAAATAATAACTTCCTTTTGAACTGGACAGACAGCCCCATATTTGAACCTTTCGTGTTTTCATGCTTCAGCCTCCTTCTGTCCCTCTTCTGGAGAATCCTCTGCTTCTCTTAGTTTTTCTGTCTGCTCTTTCTTGGCCTTTTGACGCTCTGCCTCTGTTATTGTCATGGGGTGCAGGGGGAAAAATCCGGCCAACCCTGCAGACAGAGAGGATGTTTTGAACATTGATAAGCTGGTACATCAGTTTTAGACAAAGTGAATTCCCAACAGTCATTCAGCTACATTTAATGAAAGAACCACTTAAATTATAAAGTTTCTAACATGTTTACTAATCAAACAGCATAGCGTTTTTCTCTTGAATGCTTCTTTAGCTATGCTGCATTAAAGGGTGTACGGACAAAAGCTCAATTTTTTTTTCAAATGTCTGACACTACAGAATTGCTCCCACATTCCTTATTTTAATTTGTTCTCACTTTCTAACTGTGCACATCCTATTTTTAACAAATATTTTTAGTCAATAATCTCAAAGTGAGCTTCAGTCTTGTGAGCTTTTATCAGAGGCTCACACTGAAGACCCTAACAGGAAGACAGCCTTGCATATAAAAAATATTTTTTGTGTGTGTGTTAATCAATAATACAGGCAACAATTAGTTTAATATGTATCGTACAGAGCTGCTGAAATCAGATATTTCTACACAACTGTTGGAACCAGAGGGCAACAATGAATGAGAAATACTGTTCTACTCAACATTTCAGTTCATCTCAGGATTAAAGATCTAAAAGAAAAGTTAATAAAATGAGGTACTTCAGTGAAWAACTATTGTTTAAACTGTGCAGAAAACACCATAAATGGTTAAACGGACCTCCTTGATCAAACATTTTTATCAGCAACGGATTTCCCTGGAAAGGTCGACAATAAAAACTGTATAATAATGATCTAAGCTGCAAAACACGTTCAACAACCTGAATACACACCTAGAAGTTTGCACACTGGTTTTGTAGGGTGCGCACCACAACCGATCCAGTACTTGATCCGGTCGTAGTTCAAAGCGACAAGTTTCTCGTTGTAGATGTTGGGGAGGGGGTCGTAGCTTCCCAACTGCTCTAGGAATTTACCGTCTCTTGGTTTTTTGTTGAACGCTGCCACGATCCGAAAAAAGGGTCTGTTGGCTTGATTGTGGCCTGCAAAAGCAATTCGGATGACAACGAAGCCCCCGTGGTACTTCTTCAGGAGGAGAGATGCTGCAGAAGGAAATCAGCACAACACGACATGTCTGGTTAATCTGCTGAACACCCACAAACACTTCTTTCTGACTCTGTTTTCTTTAACTTTCTTAAAAAAGAAAAAAAAAAGACTTTCAAGCTCCGGACACAAAGCAGCTTTTGCTGATTAACAGACTTAAAGCCACATGATCAAAATATTTTTTAATGATTTACTAATCTGTACACTATTTTATATTCTGGGAAATCTTTCTGTTACATATTAGTGAGAAAAACATCCAACACCCCTTTCAGAATTCCCCTGATATGATAAATAACCAGAAACTTATTGACCAACGCAGTGAGCTGTAATTTTATAGCATTTTTAAACACACCTGACATCAGCTTTCTTGGCCATTTGCCAACAGTAAAYATAAAATTATGTACATTTAAATTGAATTTTCTTAAATTCTTTTTTTATATGTGAAATGCCCGCAGTCTTGCATTTATGCCCATTGTGACAATTACTCCATAGGTGGTGGGTGAGGGTGACATGCATTCATTCAAGAAATGAATGCCTTTATAATGAAATATTAAATGTGCAATAAAATGATTAATTCTTAGTTTTTCAATGTGCAATGAAATAATATAAAAGTAAAAGGACATTAACTTTGGATAGGTTATTTATTGATTCATGAACTAATAGTTTGATGAGTTTTATGCCAGTTTTTCAATTTTAAGGAAATTATATTCAATCAGCATTTCTAGAAGATAAAAATCACAAGGTCAAAATAACATAAAAGACACAAAGATCAAATTAAAACAAAAGTAAAAAAACAAATAAGATGAAATAGTAGGTTACAGTGATTACCCTACAATAGGGTTGGGCAATATTGGCAAAGTGCCAAAAATTAATCGATTAATGTTTTTCTGACGATTAATCACACACGATACGATTATGCCCAACCCTACAATGTCCTATTTCACACACCTGAATTAAATTAACGGTTAATTAGTAAGTTGTAATCAACAAGGGGTGTCATAAACAAACAAACAAACAAAAAAAAATAAAAACCATGGGGTGTCATAATGTTTTAGATCTGCACACCTGATATCAATTAACAGGTGATCAGCTGGTTGTCAGATGCAGGACAGTCACAATGTGGTCTGAGGAAACATATAAATCTTTTTCTTTACCTATTCAATATGTGAACTTACATAAACCGTATGGGTAAGTTTTACAGTGCTTTTTAATAACATGTAAACATGTTTTCCTTGTAAATCAACACTACGTTGTGATGTTACCAATATGTCTTTGTTTATTCTTTTTACTCACATAAATGCACCATGATGTCCGCTCGGATAACCTGTAATAAAGGAGTAAATGTTTAGCTAAACGTAGTAAGCTTCATCATTTAAAACGCTTCAAATCTTACTGTAGTGTTATGTTTTACATAACAAAACCAAGGACCAAGCGTGAAACTAAATACCTTTAGTTGAAAGTCAAATGACGCGGTTTATCTAAGAAAACTTCTTAGAGCTCGTGTCTTTGTTATTCGTTGCACAGGTACAAAAACAAGCAAAGTATAACCGTGTTGGTTAGCAAAAAAGCTATAATGTGACATTTGTCAGGTCGCGGCCATGTTTTAACAGGAAATGACGTAGCGGTGGCGGCGTTTCACCGTAGGGCAGCTGGATGGTGCAGCAGCGCCATCTAGCGTCCGGACGGTGGCGGCGATTCACCGTTCGGACGCTAGATGGCGCTGCTGCACCGCCGGCCTCTTCCACTGCAGCGTCAGCGTTCGTGTTTGAAATGGGTCTTGATAAATCTTCATTTAAGTTATAACATTTCTAAAAAATATATAAGAAGAGCCTCTCTACAAAAGGAGATGCTGCACTACTTTTGCTTTTGAATGTGTTCTTTTACTTTTATTCTTTACTGTGGACCTTTTTATGTAAACTGGAATAAAGATATGAAATGGAAATTTAAACAGCCCATAACAAATTGTCTGCAGAAAAAGAGTAGTTAATTAATAAAAAATAAATAAATAAATAGACAATTAAATTTTAGATTTACAAAGCCTCATCAACTTCATGATTTAATGTATCATTTTGTATCCAAAAGGTTAAAATATTTCCCACATTTTGTCTGTCTGCTGTAAAAATATTTAAAAAAACTATGTTTTAATCAACTAGAAAATCACATTTCAGATTTAAAATTGCATTAAGTACATTCAAATCTGGTATTGGATAGGTTTAAACTCATGCAACAACGAGCGTATTTATTTTCTTTTTAATTTAATATTGTGCCAGTAAATATACTTTTTTAAATCAGAAGTACATTGTTTGTGACTCTGACTTCAGGAACTGAATACAAGCCTAAACCATGAACTCTGTTTTTATTTCACGTAGAATGACTTTTTCTGTGTTGTTTTTCATTCAAAGTCCTCATGGAAGATGTCGGTTCTGTGATGCAAAATGAGATTTTATTCATGACATTCTTCCTTCATTTACAATGCAATTTAAAAAGAAGCAAAAACATTGTGAACCATGAAATCATTCTAAAAAAAAAAAAAAAAAACACAATCATTTAAGCTTTGACTGCCAAAAGGTGAAACTTGCATAGTAAGTTTGTATATCTCTTCAGCATTTATAACAAAAATATTCAAAGTAAATTATCCATGTGGAATTAAGGCTCACATCTTACTGAATGTATAGGTTCAGTTTTGCTCTGCTTTTGTATTGTCATTTTTTGTCATTAAATCATGCAATTCTAATAAAAACTTAAATAATTATTTATTTAATAAATATTTCTAAAGTA